TATTTTCGATACATGACTGACGAGACAGATTTTTCCTTGCAGTATTTTCGCCATTTCTTGCACCTAAGTGAATGTAATGGATTCGACTGGAATTCGAACTACGATTCCTCAATCAGAGTCGCTGTTTCTCCAGAGTTTAGTATTCCTTATTTATGTTAGTTTCATATGTAAATATTAAGTTGGAAAGAAAGCCATGTCACAATTGAAGATTTAAAAAAAATGAAACTGAGTCTATGGTCTTGTGTGTGCCTGGTCGATACACACTTATGCGATCATGACTGACGAGGCAGACTTTTTTCCGGCAGTAGGTTGCCATTTCTTTCTGCGGTAGACCAGTTGCCATCAAAGGCTATAGAACCCGGTCCGTCCTGCTATTTACCCATAGCTGCGAGGAGAAGAAGAGGGTTCTTACCTTTCCCAAGGATATTAGTACGTAAGTGAATGTAATGCATTCGATTGGAATTCGAACTCGGCGCTTCGATTCCTCACTCATCAATTAACACATAACACTAACATAATTCAAGTTTTAAGAACTTATAGGAAGGCGTTGCCTATATATCGTTGTTTAGCAAAATATTAATGATAAGTTCGATTCTCCCTGAGGGGGGGTCTTCTGTTGTTGTCTTACGCCAGGATGAGCTGATGTCTATTAATTTTCTAAATTCTAAGAAAATTATTATTCTATCAATAAATCTTTGAGTTTCTTTCAGGTTGCCAGTTTGGCAATGGTTATAAAACAGGGGTTCACAAGACCTTGAAGTGAAGATCAATACTCTCCGTTTTGATATATTGGGGCCTTGTTTCAGACTTACTGATTTAATTTGAGGCTTTCAATCTAAACTTTGAAACGTATATCGTCAGCGCCATTAATATGCCTTTTTTTTGTATTACTGATAGGTTTTGTTATATGAGATAAACAGTACGAACGGTATTATTATTTTAATATTAATGTTAATATCTAAAAATAAAGGATAAAATAGAGAGAGAAAAAAGAGAAAAACTTCACAAAGAAAAAATAGAGAAAAGAAAATGATGAATAGAAGGCAAATGCATTTAAAGGCTGTCGGCCATAATAATAGCAGTTAGGACATTATTTATGGCTGTGTAGGACGCAGGAAATTAAAAATCCTACTTTTTTCTTTCATTTTTTCCCTCTTGAAAGAAGTCTTCGAAATATGCTTTGCAATTCCAGAAACTTCAAAAACACGGAATTATCTTTGTACTCCTGCCTTTTCTAATAACAAATAATATAAAAAGAAGAAAAAGGATTAATTTTTTTTTTTTTAATTTTATAATTTGTGTTATTAGCCGTATTTTCGTATTAGTTTACTTGAACAAATTTTACACGTTTTCAAGACAGCAGTAATCACTATGGAGGACTTAAGTTTTTAAAAATGCTGACAGTCTCCATGTTTGTTTGTTTTACGGCATATCAACCTCAATTGGTTATTTAATGCCGATAAGATTTTTATTGCTGGTTATATTATATACTGGTTTGGTTTGTTTTATGGCGTATCAACCTCAATGGTTTATTTAATGCCGACAAGATTTTTATCGTTGGAATTTTTTTTTTTTCAAAAATGTATTGCTGTTAATATTTTTTTTCAAAAAAACTATTGCTGGTAATATTTTTCTCAAAAATATATTGCTGGTAATATTTTGGTTCCCAAAATATATTGTTGGTAATATTTTTCAACAATGTATTGCTGTTAATATTTTTGTTTCAAAAATGTATCGCTGGTAATATTTTGTTTTCAAAAATGTATTGCTGGTAATATTTTTTTTTCAAAAATGTATTGCTGGTAATATTTTTTTTCTTTTTTTCAAAAAATGTACTGCTGGTAATAATTTTTCCCAAAAAAGTATTGGTGGTATTAAAACCTATTTTTATACTTTCATAATGTTTTGACCCGCCTGTGGGTGGTTAACTTTTTGCCCATGGCTGGGACCCTAACAGGTGCCACCACCCCGGGCCAGGGTGGACCTGGGAACACCAGCAATTAAGAGGTGGTCCCACGCTCCTTAAAACCTCCTGATAAGGGGCCTTGCTGTTGGATGTAGTTTATCGCCTTACTCAGGACTCGGGTGTAGTTTATCGTCATCGCCAGGACGAAGTCTCCATATGTCATGGATCCATAGAATTAATGTTTTTTTAAGGCTTATCAAAACATTGCTACGATCACCTAAGTTAAGTAATGTCGAGCTTAACCAGTACATCGATGGGTGACTGTTTGGGAATACCAAGGACTGTAAAATCAGATGGAGGCATACTGTAGTAGGTAACAGTTTGGGATTGTCAATTGTAGAGCCTAGTTACACTTCAAATTGGGTTCGTTAAGGTCACTTACCATTAAATACGCTTTTGGAAAGGTATGTATTCACTGCATCTCTACCTTCCTATGGGTTAAATAGTAGAACATATATCACTAAATAGTCATTATCTTAAAAATATTCTGACAATCTAAAATATTTTCTGGCTATAAATAGCCTTTAAATGATTCATAAACCATAGGATATGAATGAATCAATCAAACATTTGCGTTATATTAAATGTCGAAATATATTTTGGATTCTCATACTAATTCTTTTTTGCGAGTGAAATTAAATTTACCATTTTTGGTAGATAATAATTTTTCATTATACACGTCTTACTTTTTAACCTATAGTTGGGGGAAAGAAAGGGATTTTCAACTTTCTCAAAGCAAATATTGCACAAGTGAATATAAGAAACTAGATTGTAATTCGAACTCAGCTCTCCAATTTCTCTTTCCGAGCCGCTATCCATTACACCACCCACACATCCTTCGAAGGCTTCAAGGATTGGTAAGTGTCTGGGAATATGTACAATTGTTACGCTTTTGAATTCACAGTTGACTTTCTTTTAAACTGGTTAACAACAACGGTTACGGATCACAGTATACTCTGCTATTTAACCCATAGGTAAAGGGACATCAGGTGGATTCATGTCTGTCCTATGGTTAATTGTGCCTACGTGAATATAACAAATTTGACTGTAATTCGAACTCGACCCTCCAATTCCTCATTCCGAGCCACTATCCATTACACCACTCGCACATCCTTCGCAGGCTTCATGGATTGGTGAATTTCGGGGAACATCGACACGGCTTTGAATTCAGGATTGTCTTTCATCCAGACTGGTTACCAACCACAGTTAGAGATTCCAGTCTACTCTCCTATTTCTCTGTCGCTTCAATTCTATCCTTAATCTGTATGAAAACTGCTATCCAGGAGGAGAGACACGACATTGTATTTCAGTTCTTACTATGGTTTGGCTTTTAATATTTTGATAATTCAAATTGTACAAATTACGGAACAGTTTCTTTATGTTCCGTTTCAGCAGATTCCTTTAAAAAAGAAAAAAGAAAAAAAACGATCTTTTCACCCCCCCACCCCCCACCCCCCTAAAGGCGGGAGTGTCACTAGCACGCAGGGTGTTACAGAGAGGGAGAGTAAGAGTAAAGAGGCGTGATAGAGGAAAGGACGAAGAGAAGGACGGAGAACAGATTAAAGCATCTGGAGATGTCGATTGACATTGCATTTGAATAGCTGGAGATTATAGCTATGAGGGAAGCAAGTAAGAGGAAGGGAGTTCCGCAGAGAGGAAGTGTCAGACATGAAGCTATTGGAGTAGAAGAAACGGCTACATTTAACCGTTTCGACAGTGAAAGGGTGGGACCGAGATGCCAACCTAGTAGCACATTTAAATTCATGCAGTTTGGTAACTAGCGAAAATAGATCGTCGGAGAAGTTACCGTGAAAGTATTTGTAGAAAAGACAGAGGGAGGCGAAAGCACGTCTGTGAGAGAGTGACTGTAAACCAGATGCCAGATCTGGGCAAACCGCATTGCATATCGATCTCTGGATTTTGTCGAGAACCCTAAGACTAACAGCGGGGCTCCAGACTATATATGACAGCAATATTCTACAACTTTTTTACTATGTGCAGGCTGCATGGCGGGTGCCTTCTCGAATTTTTATATGTCATTATTGTTCCAAGAGTTCTTCAGATTATTGAATTAATTCCTTATGTTTTGTAGTTAGCACCGCGCTTCAGCTGATTGATTTTATGTCTTAAGGTGTACCATCTAAAAAAGAAGAAGGGAAAATAACTCTTTCATACCATTTCCAATTGTCTCAGATGTTTGCCTAAAGGATGAACTCAAGTAATGAAACTCTACAGATGCTCGCCCATAACAAACAGATTTTAAGAGGGAGTTGTTTTTTTTTTGCGACAATCTCTGGGAATAAAACAAATCGTAGCACAAGTTTGTCATTTTTTGTCAGTCCCAGAAAAGAATTAACTGTTTGTAAATCGATTATTGATCTGTGATAGAGACAGAGTTCCTGAACAATAATCGAAAACGATGGCTACACCTGGCTATCAACAATCGAAACTATATTCTTAATGTCCTGTTTATCTTTTCAATGTCAAAAATTCCCTCGGAGTATTTTGGTTAAGATGGAGCCGAGTTCCATGATAACGGTTGGATAAGGCATCAGTCTACTTTTCCCTATATTCTTTTTCATCGTTGGATATACTGACAAAATATCTCGTTTACTAGAATGACACATGGAGAATCGAATTGGCCCTGATCTAGCATCTCGTTTGCAGTCACTCTCTCACAAACGTGCTTTCGCCTCCCTCTGTCTTTTCTACAAATACTTTCTTGGTAACTTCTCCGTCGTTATTGTGCCATGATTGATTTGTTTTTTTTTAAGGCTTATAAACCCTTTGCAGGCTATTTTAAGCCAGCAAATATTTTGGATTAAATTTCTTTTTTGAGATAATAATGATTTAAGACTAAAATTCCAATTAACGAACTCATAGCTGGGTGGTGGGTAATGGAAAAGACGAGCCGCATTCATAGCTTTCGCAAGGGTATTTGCGCGTAAGTAAATAAAGACTGGAATTGAACTTGGCTTTCGAATTTCTCATTCCGAGCTGTTGGCTATTAGAGAACCCGCTTTTCCAAGTTTAGAGCACCTGGTATTCCCAATTGGTCACCTATCTAGTTGCTGACCAGGCTGGACGTTGCTTAACTTTAATGATCGTATGAGAACCGGTGTTTCATGGTGATATCGTTGCAGCTCCGTTTACTGAGCAAGCCACCTCTGCAGCCAACACAGGTAAAGAACAATCACACAGCCACACACACACACAAAGTATTACTTTTTGGCAAATGAATGACAAAGTGGAAAAAAATGAGTGTTAGGTATTTCATCTTCTCTAGAACGACTAACTTTTGAAATACTGGTGTTTAAATATATGCATACTCCATTTATTTTAAAATACTGGTGTTTAGATATATGCATACACCATTTACTTTAAAATAGTAGTGCTTAGATATATGCATACTCCATTTATTGTAAAATACTGGTGTTTAGATATATGCATACTCCATTTATTTTAAAATACTGGTGTTTAGATATGTGCATACTCCATTTATTTTAAAATACTGGTGTTTAGTTATATGCATACTCAATTTACATTAAAATACTGGTGTTTAGTTATATGCATACTCCATTTACTTTAAAATAGTTGTGTTTAGATATATGCATACTGCATTTATTTTAAAATACTGGTATTTAGATATATGCATAATCCATATAGTTTAAAATACTGTTGTTTAGATATATGCATACTCCATTTATTTTAAAATGCTGCTGTTTAGATATATGCATACTACATTTATTTTAAAATAATGGTGTTTAGATATACGCATACTCCATTTAAGATACGAGTCAAAGCGTTAACTTTGAGAGATTAATTCATGGACATTCTTCCTTGCATTGAATACTGTTGCCATATATGGTATGCTGCACCCGCTGTTCATCTCGAGATCGTCAACAAAATCCGAAGATGGATATGCAATTTGATAGGTCATGACCTGGCTTCTCGGTTCCAGTCACTTTCTCACAGACGGTATGTGGCTTCCCTCTGTCTTTTCTACAAATATTTTCAAGGCAACTGCTCTGACCTGCTACTTTCACGAGTGCCCCAACTGAATGAATTTAAACGTGCTACTAGGTTAGCATCTCGGTCCCACCCTTTCACTCTCGAAACAGTTAAATATATCCGCCTCTTCTATTCCAAACGCTTCTTCGCTCGCACTTCCCGTCATTGGAAATTATTTCCTCTTAATTGCTCCCCTGATAACTGCAATCTTTAAAAATTCAAATGTAATGTCAACCCACATCTTCTAATCACTTGACCTTGATCCCCGTCCTTCTCTAAATCCTTTTTCTCTTAAATCCTCTGTATTCTTTTCTTACTTTCTGTAACTCCTCCCTCGTTTCTCTGTAAGCCCCTTTTTTCTCTTACCTCTCTAACCCCCTTTTTCTTTTCTCTTTGTCTCTTTTCTTACTTTCTCTCTGTAACCTGCCTCTTTTCTCTTGCTCTTTCTTTTCTCTTTTTTTCATTCTGTAACTCCTCCCTCTTTTCTCTTACTGTCACTTTTCTCTCCGTAACCTGCCTCTTTTCTTACTTTCCTCTCTGTAACCTCTTTCTCTTAACTCTCTGTGGCCTCTTTTCTCTTACTTTTCTCTTTTCTCTTACTACTCTGTAACCCCTTTCTTTTCTCTTACTTTCCTCTCTGTAACCCCTGCCTCTTTTCTCTTAACCCTTTTTCTCTTGCTTTCCTCCCCCCCTCTTTTCTCTTACTTTCACTCTCTGTAACCCCTGCCTCTTTTTACTTTCTTCTGTAACCCCTTTCCTCTCTCTGTAACCCTGCCTCTTTCTTACCCCTGCCCCTCCTTTTCTCTTAAGCTCTTACTCTCTGTTCTTTCTCTTACTTTCCTCTCTGCCCCTGCCTCTTTTCTCTTATCACACTCTCTGTAACCCTGCCTCTTTTCTCTTTTTCACTCTCTGTACCCTGCCTCTTTTCTCTTACTTTCACTCTCTGTAACCCCCTCCTCTCTTTTCTCTTAACCTTCCTCTCTCTTATTCCCCCCCTTCTTTTCTCTTACTTTCCTCTCAGTAAGCCCCACTCTGCCTCTTTTCTCTTACTTTTCCTCTCTGTAACCCTGCCTCTTTTCTCTTACTTTCACTCTCTGTAACCCCTGCCTCTTTTCTTACTTTCACTCACTCTCTTTTCTTATTTCACTCTCCTGCCTCTTTTCTCTTACTTTCACTCTCCATTAACCCCTGCCTCTTTTTCCTCTTACTTTCACTTCACTCTGTAACCCTGCCTCTTTTCTCTTACTTTCTACTCTCTGTAACCCCTGCCTCTTTTTCTTTTACTTTTCCTCTCCGTAACCCTGTCTCTTTTCTCTTACTTTCCTCTCTGTAACCTGCCTCTTTTCTTACTTTCCTCTCTATACCTCTTCTCTTACTTTCTCTCTCTGTAACCCCCACTCTTTTCTTACTTTCACTCTCTGTAACCCCTGCCCTCCTTTTCTCTTGCTTTTCCTTTTCTCTTCTTTCCTCTCTGCCTCTTTTCTCTTACTTTCACTCTCTGTAACCCTCTTTTTTCTTACTTTCCTCTCCCTCTGTAACCCCCCCTGCCTTTTCTCTTAATTTCCTCTCTGTAACCCCTGCCTCTTTTCTCTTACTTTCACTCTCTGTAACCACTGCCTCTTTTCTCTGTAACCTGCCTTTTTCTCTTACTTTTCTACAAGTAACCCCTCTTTTCTCTTACTTTCCTCTCTGCCAACCCCTGCCTCTTTTCTCTTACTTTCACTTTCTCCGTAACCCCCCTCTTTTCTCCCCTCTTCCTCCTCTGTAACCCCTGCCTCTTTTCTCTTAACCCCTTTTTTCTCTTTTCACTCTCTGTAACCCCTGCCTCTTTTCTCTTACTTTCACTCTCTGTAACGACCTGCCTTACTTTCCTCTCTGTAACCCATTTTTTCTCTTACTTTCCTCTCCGTAACCCCTGCCTCTTTTCTCTTACTTTCCTCTCTGTAACCCCTGCCTCTTTTCTCTTACTTTCCTCTCTGTAACCACTGCCTCTTTTCTTAACCCTTGCCCCCCACTCTTTTCTCTTACTTTCACTCTCCGTAACCCCTGCCTCTTTTCTCTCTGTAACCCCTTTCTCTTCTTTCACTCTCTGTAACTTTCACTCTGTACCTCTTTTCTCTTACTTTCACTCTCTGTAACCCCTGCCTCTTTTCTCTTACTTTCACTCTCTGTAAGCCCCCTCTTTTCTCTTGCTTTCCTCTCTAACCCCTGCCTCTTTTTCTCTTACTTTTTCACTCTCTGTAACCCCTGCCTCATTTCTCTTACTTTCCTCTCAACCTGCCCTAACCCCTGCCTCTTTTCTCTTACTTTCACTCTCTGTAACCCATGCCTCTTTTTATCTTACTTTTTCACTCTCTGTAACCCCTGCCTCTTTTCTCTTACTTTCACTCTCCGTAACTCCTGCCTCTTTCTTACTTTCCTCTCTGTAACCCCTGCCTCTTTCTCTTACTTTCCTCTCTGTAACCACTGCCTTTTCTCTTACTTTCCTCTCTGTAAGCGCCCTCTTTTTCTCTTACTTTCCTTTCTCTGCCTGCCTCTTTTTCTCTTACTTTCCTCTGTAGCCCTACCTCTTTTCTCTTACTTTCACTCTCTGCCAACCCTGCCTCTTTTCTCTTACCTTCACTCTCCAGCCCCCTCTCTTGCTTTCACTCTCTGTAACCCCTGCTTCTTTCTCTTACTTTCACTCTCTGTAACCTGCCTCTTTTCTCTTACTTTCCTTCTGTAACCACTGCCTCTTTTCTCTTACTTTCCTCTCTGCTTAACCTGCCTCTTTTCTCTTACTTTCACTCTGTAACCCCTGCCCTCTTTTCTCTTACTTTCACTCTCTACTTAACCTGCCTCTTTTCTCTGCTTTCACTCGTAACCCCTGCCTCTTTTCTCTTACTTTCACTCTGCTTACCTCTTTTTCTCTTACTTTCACTCTCTGTAACCACTGCCTCTTTCTCTTACTTTCACTCTCTGTAAGCCCCCACTCTTTCTCTTACTTTCCTCTCTGTAACCCCTGCCTCTTTTCTCTTACTTTCACTCTCGTAACTCTCTCTTTTCTCTTCTTTTCCTCTCTGTAACTTACCTCTTTTCTCTTACTGTCCTCTCTGTAACCCCTACCTCTTTTCTCTTACTTTCACTCTCTGTAACTCCTCCCTCTTTCTCTCTCCTTCCTTTCACTCCTCTTTTCTCCCCTCCTCTTTCTCTTACTTTCACTCTCTGTAACCCCTGCCTCTTTTCTCTTACTTTCCTCTCTGTTCTTACCCTGCCTTTTTCTCTTACTTTCACTCTCTGTAACCTGCCTCTTTTCTCTTACTTTCACTCTGTAACCCCTGCCTCTTTTCTCTTACTTTCCTCTCCTGTAACCCCCCTCTTTTCTCTTACTTTCACTCTCTGTAACCTGCCTCTTTTCTCTTACTTTCCTCTCTGTAACCCCTGCCTCTTTTCTCTTACTTTCACTCTCGTAACCTGCCTCTTTTCTCTTACTTTCACTCTCTGTAACCACTGCCTCTTTTCTCTTGTACCCCTTTCCTTCTCTGTAACCCCCTCTTTCTCTTACTTTCCTCTCTAACAACCCCCCTCTTTTCTCTACTTTCCTCTCTTTTCTCTTAACCCCTGCCTCTTTTCTCTTACTTTCCTCTGTAACCACTGCTCTTTTCTCTTTCCTCTCTGTAACCCCTGCCTCTTTTCTCTTACTTTCACTCTCTGTAACCCCTACCTCTTTTTCTCTTTACTTTCACTCTCTGTAACCCCCTTTCTCTGCCTCTTTTCTGTTTCACTCTCTGCCCCTGCCTCTTTCCTCTCTACTTTCACTCTCTGTAACCCCTGCCTCTTTTTCTCTTACTTTCACTCTCTGTAACCCCTGCCTCTTTCTCTTACTTTCACTCTCTGTAACCCCTGCCTCTTTTCTCTTCTTTCACTCTCTGTAACCTACCTCTTTTCTCTGCCACCCCCTCTTTTCTCTTACTTTCACTCTCTGCTAACCCCTGCCTCTTTTCTCTTACTTTCACTCTCTGTAACCCCTGCCTCTTTTCTCTTACTTTCACTCTCCGTAACCCCTGCCTCTTTTCTCTTACTTTCACTCTCTGTAACTCTTTTCCCCCTGCCTCTTTTCTCTTACTTTCCTCTCTGTAAGCCCCCCACTCTTTTCTCTTACTTTCCTCCCTCAGTAACCCCCCTCTTTTCTCTTACTTTCCTCTCTGTAACCCCTACCTCTTTTCTCTTACTTTTCACTCTCCACGTAACCCCCTACCTTTTCTCTTACTTTCCTCTCTCTGTAACCCCACCTCTTTTCTCTTTCTTTCCTCTCTGTAACCCCTGCCTCTTTTCTCTTACTTTCCTCTCCGTAACCCTGCCTCTTTTCTCTTACTTTCCTCTCCCCCTCTTTTCCTTACTTTCCCCTCTTTTTCTTTCACTCTCTGTAAGCCCCTGCATCTTTCTCTTACTTTCACTCTCTGTAACCCCTGCCTCTTTTCTCTTTACTTCCTCACCCCTCCTCTTTTCTCCCCTCTGTAAGCTCTTTTCTCTTACTTTCCTCTCTGTAACCCCCCTCTTTCTCTTACTTTCACTCTCTGTAACCCCTTTCTTTTCTCTCTTTCACTCTCTGTAACCCCCACTTTTCTCTTACTTTCACTCTCTGTAACCCCCCCCTCTTTTCTCTTACTTTCACTCTCTCCTACTGCCTCTTTCTTTCCTCCTTTAACCCCCTTTTCTGCCCCACTCCTCCGTCCTCCTTTCACTCTCTGTAACCCTGCCTCTTTCTCTTACTTTCACTCTCTGTAACCCCTGCCTCTTTTCTCTTACTTTCACTCTCTGTAACCCCTGCCTCTTTCTCTTACTTTCACTCTCTGTAACCCCTCTTTTTCTTACCTCTTTTCTCTTCTAACTCCCTTTCCTCTCTGTAACCCTGCCTCTTTTCTCTTACTTTCACTCTCTGTAACCCCTCCTCTTTTCTCTTAATTTCACTCTCCTGTAACCCCTGCCTCTTTTCTCTTACTTTCACTCTCTGTAACCCTGCCTCTTTTCTCTTACTTTCCTCTCTATGTAACCCTGCCTCTTTTCTCTTACTTTCACTCTCTGTAACCCCTGCCTCTTTTCTCTTACTTTCACTCTCTCTAACCTTTCTCTTTTCTCTTACTTCACTCTCTGTAACCCCTGCCTCTTTTCTCTTACTTTTTCTTACTCCTCTCTGTAACGACTGCCTCTTTTCTCTTACTTTCCTCTCTGTAACCCCCCATCTTTTCTCTTACTTTCACTCTCTCTGCCAACCCCTGCCTCTTTTCTCTTACTTTCCTCTCTGTAACCCCTGCCTTTTCTCTTACTTTCACTCTCTGTAACCCCTCTTTTCTCTTACTTTCACTCTCTGTAACCCTGCCCCCCCCTCTTTTCTCTGCCTCTTTCTCTTACTTTCTCTCTAAACCCCTGCCTCTTTCTCTTACTTTCACTCTCTGTAACCCCTGCCTCTTTTCTCTTACTTTCACTCTCTGTAACCCCTGCCTCTTTTCTCTTACTTTCACTCTCTGTAACCCCTCTTTTCCTCTTTTCTCTTGCTTTCACTCCTCTGTAACCCCTGCCTCTTTTCTCTTACTTTCACTGCCTTCTCTGTCCTCCCCTGCCTCTTTCTCTTACTTTCCTCTCTGTAACCTACCTCTTTTTCTCTTTCTCTTACTTTCTCTTACTTTCTCCGTAACTCCCCTTTTCTCTTTTCTCTGTAACCTTGCTCTCTGTAACCCTGCCTCTTTTCTCTTACTTTTCCTCTGTAGCTCTTGACTGCCTCTTTTCTCTTTTCTGCTTTCACTCTCTGTAACCCCTCTTTCTCCCACTCTCTGCCTGCCTTTCTCTTACTTTCCTCTCTGTAACCCCTGCCTCTTTTCTCTTACTTTTCTCTCTGTAACCACTGCCTCTTTTCTCTTACTTTCCTCCTCTGCTTAACCCCTGCCTCTTTTTCTCTTAATTTCCTCTCTGTAACCTCTTTTCTCTTTTCTCTTACTTTTTCTTCTCTCTGTAAGCCCCCCCTCTTTTCTCTTACCTTTCCTCTCCTGTAACCCCTGCCTCTTTTCTCTTTCTTTCAACCCCTCTGTAACCCCCTCCTCTTTCTTTCTTTCACTCTCTGTAACCTGCCTCTTTTCTCTTACTTTCCTTCACTCTCTCTTTTCCCCCTCTTTTCTCTTACTTTCACTCTCTGTAACCCCTACCTCTTTTTCTCTTACTTTCCTCTCTGTAACCCCTGCCTCTTTTCTCTTACTTTCACTCCTGTAAGCCCCCTCTTTCTCTTCTTTCACCTCTACTGCCTCTTTTTCTCTTACTTTCCTCTCAGTAACCCCTGCCTCTTTCTCTTACTTTCCTCTCCTTAACCCCTGCCTCTTTTCTCTTTCACTCTCTGTACTCTCTTTTCTTACTTTCACCTCTGTAAGCCCTCTTTTCTCTTACTTTCACTCTCTGTAACCTACCTCTTTTCTCTTACTTTCCTCTCTCTCCTGTAACCCCTGCCTCTTTCTCTTTTCTCTTACTTTTTTCTCTGCTCTCTCCGTAACCCCTACCTCTTTTCTCTTACTTTCACTCTCTGCCCCCCACCTTTTCTCTTACTTTCACTCTCTGTAACCCCTGCCTCTTTTCTCTTACTTTCACTCTGTAACCCCTCCCTCTTTTCTCTTACTTTCACTCTCTGTAACCCCTTACTTTCACTCTCTCTGCCTCTTTTTCTCTTACTTTCCTCTCTGCCAAGCCATGCCTCTTTTCTCTTACTTTCACTCTCTCTGTAACCCCCTCTTTTTCTCTTACTTTCACTCTCTTACTGTCCTCTTCTTTTCTCTTACTTTCCTCTCTGTAGCCCTGCCTTTTCTCTCTTACTTTCTCTGTAGCTCTCTACTTTCTCTAACCCCTGCCTTTTTCTCTTACTTTCACTCTCTGTAACCCCTGCCTCTTTTCTCTTGCTTTCCTCTCTGTAACCCCTGCCTCTTTTCTCTTACTTTCACTCTGTAACCCCCCCTCTTTTCTCTTACTTTCCTCTCTGTAACCCCCTGCCTCTTTCTCTTACTTTCCTCTCTGTAACCTGCCTCTTTTTCTCTTACTTTTCCCTCCTCTTTTCTCTTACTTTCCTCTCCTGTAACCCCTGCCTCTTTTCTCTTACTTTCCTCTCTGTAACCCTGCCTCTTTTCTCTTACTTTCCTCTCTGTAACCCCTGCCTCTTTTCTCTTGCTTTCCTCTCTCTCCTGCCTCTTTTCCCCTTTTCTCTTGCTTTCACTCTCTGTAACCCCTGCCTTTTTCTCTTACTTTCACCTCTATAACCCTGCCCCCTTACTTTCACTTTTCCTCTTTTCTCTTACTTTCCTCTCTTAACCCCTGCCTCTTTTCTCTTACTTTCCTCTCTGTAACCCCTGCCTCTTTTACTTTCACTCCTGTAACCCTGCCTCTTTTCTCTTACTTTCACTCTCTGTAACCCCTGCCTCTTTTCTCTTACTTTCCTCTCTATAACCCTGCCTCTTTTCTGCCTTTCACTCCTGTAACCCCCTGCCTCTTTTCTCTTTCACTTTCCTCTTTTCTCTAACCCCTGCCTCTTTTCTCTTACTTTCACTCTCTGTAACCCCTGCCTCTTTTCTCTTACTTTCTCCTCTGTAACCCCTGCCTCTTTTCTCTTAACTTTCCTCTCTGCCCCTGCCTCTTTTCTCTTACTTTCACTCTCTGTAACCCCCACCTTTTTCTCTTACTTTTCCTCTCTGTAACCCCTCTTTTCTCTTTTCTCTTAACCACTGCCTCTTTTCACTTCACTCTCTGTAACCACCTCTTTCTCTCTTACTTTCACTCTTTAGCCCCACTCTTTTCTCTTACTTTTCCTCTCTAGTAACCCCTGCCTCTTTTCTCTTACTTTCTCTTACTCTCTGTAACCCCTGCCTCTTTTCTCTTTCACTTTCCACTCTCTGTAACCCCTGCCTCTTTTCTCTTACTTTCATTCTCCGTAACCCTGCCTCTTTTCTCTTACTTTCCTCTCTAAGCCTCCCCCCTCTTTTCTCTTGCTTTCACTCTCTGTAACCCTGCCTCTTTTTCTCTTACTTTCACTCTCTGTGCCTGCCTCTTTTCTCTTACTTTCCTCTCTATGGCCCCCCTCTTTCTCTTACTTTCCTCTCTCTGTAACCCCTGCCTCTTTTCTCTTACTTTCACTCCTCTGTAACCCCTCCTCTTTTCTCTTTCACTTTTAACCCTCTTTTCCACTTCACTTCTCTTTTCTCTTACTTTCACTCTCTGTAACCCCTGCCTCTTTTCTCTTACTTTCACTCTCTGTAACCCCTGCCTCTTTTCTCTTACTTTCTCTCTATAACCCCCTCTTTTCTCTTACTGTCCTCTCTAACCCCTAACTTTCACCTACTACCTCTTTTTCTCTTACTTTCACTCTCTGTAACCCCCCCCTTTTTCTTACTTTCACTTCTCCTCCTCTTTTCTCTTAACTCTCTGTAACTACCTCTTTTCTCTTACCCTCTCTATAAGCCCCTCTTTCTCTTACTTTCACTCTCTGTAACCCCTCCTCTTTCTCTTACTTTCCTCTCTGTAACCCCTGCCTCTTTTCTCTTACTTTCCTCTCTGCCTTTTTTCTCTTACTTTCACTCTCTGTAACCACCTCTTTTCTCTTACTTTTCTCTGTAACCCCCCCCTCTTTTCTTACTTTCCTCTCTGTAACCCCTGCCTCTTTCTCTTACTTTCACTCTCTGTAACCCTGCCTCTTTTCTCTTCTTTTCTCTCTGTACTCTCTGTAACCCCTGCCTCTTTCTCTTACCCTCTCTGCCCCCCTCTTTTCTCTTACTTTCACTCTCTGTAACCCCTGCCTCTTTTCTCTTTCTCTCCGTAACCCCTGCCTCTTTTCTCTTACTCTCTGTAACCCCTGCCTCTTTCTCCACTGCCCTCTGTAACCCCCTGCCTCTTTTCTCTTATTTCACTCTCTGTAACCCCTGCCTCTTTTCTCTTACTTTCACTCTCTGTAACCCCCCCTCTTTCTCTTACTTTCACTCTCTGTAACCCATGCCTCTTTTCTCTTACTTTCCTCTCTGTAACCCCTCTTTTCTTGCCTCTTTTCTCTCTTACTTTCACTCTCTGTAACCCCTTCTTTTCCTTTACTTTCCTCTCTGTAACCCCTGCCTCTTTTCTCTTACTTTCACTCTCTGTAACCCCCCCTCTTTCTCTGCACTCTTTCTCTTTACTTTCCTCCTCTGTAACCTATTTCTTACTTTCTCTGTAACCCCACCTCTTTTCTCTTACTTTTCTCTCTCTGTAACCCCTGCCTCTTTTCTCTTACTTTCACTCTCTGTAACCCCTGCCTCTTTTCTCTTACTTTCACTCTCTGTAACCCCTGCCTTTCTCTTACTTTCCTTTCTCTTAACCCCTGCCTCTTTTTCTCTTACTTTCCTCTCTGTAACCCCTGCCTCTTTTCTCTTCTTTCCTCTCTGTAACCCCTCCTCTTTTCTCTTACTTTCACTCTCTTTTCTCTTACCCTGCCTCTTTCTCTTACTTTCACTCTCTGTACCCCCCCTCTTTTCTCTTACTTTCACTCTCTGTAACCCCTTCTTTTCCTCTTTTCTCTTACTTTCTCTTTTTTCTCTCTCTGTAACCCCTGCCTCTTTTCTCTTACTTTCATTCTCTGTAACCCCTGCCTCTTTTCTCTTATTTCCTCTCTGTGCCACTGCCTCTTTTCTCTTACTTTCCTCTCTGTAACCCTCCTCTTTTCTCTTACTTTCACTCTCTGTAACCACTGCCTCTTTCTCTTACTTTCACTCTCTGTAACCCCCCCTCTTTTCTCTTTTCACTCTCTGTAACCCCTCTCTGTAACCCCTAACCTCTTTTCTCTTACTTTCACTCTCTGTAACCCCTGCCTCTTTTCTCTTACTTTCCTCTCTGTAACCCCTGCCTCTTTTCTCTTTACCTTCACTCTCTGTAACCCCCCTCTTTTCTCTTTTTTTCCTCTCTGTAACCCCTGCCTCTTTTCTCTTTACTTTCCTCTCTGTAACCCCTGCCTCTTTTCTCTTACTTTCCTCTCTGTAACCCCTGCCTCTTTTCTCTTACTTTCACTCTCTGTAACCTGCCTCTTTTCTCTTACTTTCCTCTGTAACCCCTGCCTCTTTTCTCTTACTTTCACTCTCTGTAACCCTGCCTCTTTCTCTTACTTTCACTCTCTGTAACCCCTGCCTCTTTTCTCTTACTTTCCTCTCTAACCCCTGCCTCTTTTCTCTTACTTTCACTCTCTCTGTAACCCCCCACCTCTTTTCTCTTACTTTTCTCTGTAAGCCCCTCTCTCTTACTTTCCTCTTTTCTCTTAACCTGTAACCCCCCTCTTTTCTCTTACTTTCCTCTCTGTAACCACTACCTCTTTCTCCCCCTGTAACCTCTTTTTCTCTTACTTTCACTCTCTGTAACCCCTGCCTCTTTCTCTTACTTTCCTCTCTGTAACCCTGCCTCTTTTCTCTTACTTTCACTCTCTGTAACCCCTGCCTCTTTTCTCTTACTTTCACTCTCTGTAACCCCTGCCTCTTTTCTCTTACTTTCACTCTCTGTAACCACTGCCTCTTTTCTCTTACTTTCACTCTCTGTAACCCCTGCCTCTTTTCTCTTACTTTCACTCTCTGTAACCCCTGCCTCTTTTCTCTTACTTTCACTCTCTGTAAGCCCCCCACTCTTTTCTCTTACTTTCACTCTCTGTAACCCCTGCCTCTTTTCTCTTACTTTCACTCTCTGTAACCCCTGCCTCTTTTCTCTTACTTTCACTCTCCGTAACCCCTGCCTCTTTTCTCTTACTTTCACTCTCTGTAACCCCTGCCTCTTTTCTCTTACTTTCTCCTCTGTAACCCCTCCCTTTTCTCTTTTTCAAAGCCCCCACTCTTTTCTCCCCACTTTCACTTTCTCTGTAACCCCTGCCTCTTTTCTCTTACTTTCACCTCTGTAACCCCCCTCTTTTCTCTTTTCTCTCTGTAACCCCCCCTTTTTCTCTTACTTTTCTCTCTGTAACCCCTGCCTCTTTTCTCTTACATTCACTCTCTGTAACCCCCCTCTTTTCTCTTACTTTCACTCTCTGTAACCCTGCCTCTTTCTCTTACTTTCCTCTCTGTAACCCCTGCCTCTTTTCTCTTACTTTCAACTCTCTGTAAGCCCTGCCTCTTTTCTCTTGCTTTCTCTCTGTAACCCCTGCCTCTTTTCTCTTACTTTCACTCTCTGTAACCCCTTTTCTCTTTTCTCTTACTTTCTTTTCTTGCTCTGTAACTCTTTTCTCTTACTTTTTCACTCTCCCATAACCCCTACCTCTTTTCTCTTACTTTTTACCTATAACCCTGCCTCTTTTCTCTTACTTTCACTCTCTGTAACCCCCCCTCTTTTCTTACTTTCACTCTCTGTATTCCTCTTTTCTCTTACTTTCCTCTCTGCCACCCCTGCCTCTTCTCTTACTTTCACTCTCTGTAACCCCTGCCTCTTTTCTCTTACTTTCACTCTCTGTAACCCTGCCTCTTTTCTCTTACTTTCCTCTCTCCCCTGCCTCTTTTCTCTTACTTTTCACTCTCCGTAACTCCTGCCTCTTTTCTCTTAATTTCACTCTCTGTAACCCATGCCTCTTTTCTCTTACTTTCACTCTCTGTAACCCCTGCCTTTTCTCTTACTTTCCCTCTCTGTACCCCCCCTTTTCTCTTACTTTCACTCTGTAACCCCTGCCTCTTTTCTCTTACTTTCACTCTCTGTAACCCCTGCCTCTTTTCTCTTACTTTCACTCTTTGCCTCTTTTCTCTTACTTTCCTCTCTGTAACCCTGCCTCTTTTCTCTTACTTTCCTCTCTGTAACCCCTGCCTCTTTTCTCTTCTTTCCTCTCTGTAACCCTGCCTCTTTTCTCTTACCACTCTCTGTAACCCCTGCCTCTTTCTCTTACTTTCCTCTCTGTAACCACTGCCTCTTTTCTCTTACTTTCACTCTCTGTAAGCCCCCTTTTCTCTTACTTTCACTCTCTCTAACCCTTCTTTTCTCTTACTTTCCTCTCTCTGCTAACTCCTGCCTCTTTTCTCTTACTTTCCTCTCTGTAACCCCCCTCTTTTCTCTTACTTTCCTCCTCTGTAACCCCTGCCTCTTTTCTCTTACTTTCACTCTCTGTAACCCCTCCCTCTTTTCTCTTACTTTCACTCTCTTTTTCATCTTGCTCTGTAACCTACTACTTTCCTCTCTGTAACCCCCCTCTTTTCTCTTACTTTCCTCTCCATAACCCTGCCTCTTTTCTCTACTTTCACTCTCTAAAACCCTGCCTCTTTTCTCTTACTTTCACTCTCCGTAACCCCTGCCTCTTTTCTCTTACTTTCCTCTCTGTAACCACTGCCTCTTTTCTCTTACTTTTCCTTCTGTAACCCCTTCTTTTCTCTTACTTTCCTCTCTGTAACCCCCTGCCTCTTTTCTCTTCTTTCCTCTCTTAACCTGCCTCTTTTCTCTTACTTTCCTCTCTGTAACCTGCCTCTTTTCTCTCTTTCCTCTCTCCAACCACCTGCCTCTTTTCTCTTACTTTCACTCTCCTGTAACCCCTCCTCTTTTTCTCTTTCATTCTCTCTGTAACCACTGCCTCTTTTCTCTTTCCACTCTCTTAGCCCCCTTTTTCTCTTTTCTCTCTGTAACCCCTGCCTCTTTTCTCTTACTTTCCTCTCTGTAACCCCTGCCTCTTTCTCTTTTCACTCTCTGTAACCCTACCTCTTTTCTCTTACTTTCCTCTCTGTAACCCCTGCCTCTTTTCTCTTACTTTCACTCTCTGTAACCCCTGCCTCTTTTCTCTCTTACTTTCACTCTCTGTAACCCCCCTGCCTCTTTTCTCTTGCTTTCACTCTCTGTAACCCTTCTTTCTCTTACTTTCACTCTCTGTAACCACCCCTCTTTTCTCTTTTCACTCTCTGTAACCCCTGCCTCTTTTCTCTTACTTTCCTCTACTTTCTTTTCTCTTGCTTACTTTCCTCTCTGTAACTGCCATGCCCTTACTTTCACTCTCTTACTTTTTCTCTTACTTTCACCCCTAACCTCTTTTCTCTTACTTTCACTCTCTGTAACTCCTGCCTCTTTTCTCTTACTTTCACTCTCTGTAACCCCTCCTCTTTTCTTACTTTCCTCTCTGTAACCACTGCCTCTTTCTCTTACTTTCACTCTCTGTAACCCCCCCACTCTTTTCTCTTTTTCACTCTCTGTAACCCTGCCTCTTTTCTCTTACTTTCCTCTCTCTATGTACCTGCCTCTTTTCTCTTACTTTCCTCTCTGTAACCCTGCCTCTTTTCTCTTACTTTTTCCTCTCTGTAACCCCTCCTCTTTTCTCTTACTTTCACTCTCTATAACCCCTGCCTCTTTTCTCTTACTTTCCTCTCTGCTAACCCTACTCTTTTCTCTTACTTTCACTCTCTGTAACCCCTGCCTCTTTTCTCTTACTTTCTCTCTGTAACCCCTGCCTCTTTTTCTTACTTTTCCTCTCTGTAACCCCTGCCTGCACTTCTCTTACTTTCCTCTCTGTAAGCCCCCCTTACTTTCACTCTCTTACCCCTTTCTCCACTCTCTGTAACCACTGCCTCTTTTCTCTTACTTTCACTCTCTGTAACCTCCTCTTTTCTCTTTTCTTTCACTCTTACTTTTTCACTCTCTGTAACCCCTGCCTCTTTTCTCTTACTTTGCTCTCTGTAACTCCTGCCTCTTTTCTCTTACTTCAGCTCTGCCAACCCCCACTCTTTTCTCTTACTTTCACTCTCTGTAACCCCTGCCTCTTTTTCTCTTACTTTCACTCTCTGTAACCCCTGCCTCTTTTCTCTTACTTTCCTTCTCTGTAGCCCCCCACTTTTTCTCTTACTTTCTCTGTAACCCCTGCCTCTTTTCTCTCTTGTAACCCTTCTTCTCACTCTGTAACCCCTCTTGCCTCTTTTCTCTTACTTTCACTCTGTAACCCCTGCCTCTTTTCTCTTACTTTCCTCTCTGTCCAACCACTGCCTCTTTTCTTACTTTTTCTTGCTCTCTGTAACCCCTGCCTCTTTCTCTTTTTCCTCTCTTAAGCCCCCCCTCTTTTCTTACTTTCCTCCTCTGTAACCCCTGCCTCTTTTCTCTTACTTTCCTCTCTGTAACCCCTGCCTCTTTTCTCTTACTTTCCTCTTTTTCTCTGTAAGCCTCCCTTACTTTCCTCTCTGTAACCCCTGCCTCTTTTCTCTTACTTTCACTCTCTGTAACCCTGCCTCTTTTTCCCCTTTTTCCTCTCCGTAACCCCTGCCTCTTTTCTTACTCATCTTTCCCCTCTTTTCTCTGTAACTCTGTAACCCCTGCCTCTTTTCTCTTACTTTCACTCTCTGTAACCCCCCTCTTTTTTTTTTTCTCTTACTTTCCCCTGCTCTTTCTCTAACCCCTCTCCCTCTTACTCTTACTTTCACTCTGTAACCCCTGCCTCTTTCTTTCACTCTCTGTACTTTCCTCTTTTCTCTTTAACCACTGCCATTACTTTTTCTCTTACTTTCCTCTCTGTAACCCTGCCTCTTTTCTCTTTCACTCTCTGTAACACCTCTTTTCTCTTCCTTTCCTCTCTCTGTAACCCCTGCCTCTTTTCTCTTACCTTTCACTTTCTCTGTAAACCCCTACCTCTTTTTCTCTTACTTTCACTCTCTGTAACCCCCCTTTCTCTTACTTTTCTCTTACTTTTCTCTTACTTTGTAACCCCTGCCCTTTTTTCTCTTAACTTTTTTCTCTTTCTCTCTGTAACCCCTGCCTCTTTTCTCTTACTTTCACTCTTTTCTTACTTTCCTCTGTAACCCCTGCCTCTTTTCTCTTACTTTCCTCTCTGCTTACCTCTTTTCTCTTACTTTTCCTCTCTGTAACCCCTGCCTCTTTTTCTTACTTTCCTCTCTGTAACCCCTGCCTCTTTTCTCTTACTTTTTCCCATTCTCTGTAACCCTGCCTCTTTTCTCTTACTTTTCCTCTCTGTAACCCCACCCTTTTCTCTTTTTTCTCTTACCTTTTTCTCTTACTCCTCCTCTTTTCTCTTACTTTCACTCTCTGTAACCTGCCTCTTTACTGCCCCTCTTTTCTCTTACTTTCACTCTCTGTAACCCTCTCTGTAAACCCCCACTCTTTTCTCTTACTTTCACTCTCTGTAACCCCTGCCTCTTTTTCTCTTACTTTCCTCTTTTCCATGCATTCTCTGCCCTCTTTTTCTCTTACTTTCACTCTCTGTAACCCCCCCTCTTTTCTCTTACTTTCACTCTCTGTAACTCCTGCCTCTTTTCTCTTACTTTCACTCTCTGTAAGCCCCCCACTCTTTTCTCTTACTTTCACTCTCTGTAACCCCTACCTCTTTTCTCTTACTTTCCCTACCTCTCTGTTTACCCCCTCCTCTTTCTCTGCACTCTTACTCTCTGTAACCCCTGCCTCTTTTTCTTTCTTCTCTCTCACCCCTGCCTCTTTCTCTTGCTTTCCCTCTCTGTAACCCCTGCCTCTTTTCTTACTTTCACTTTCGACTGCCTCTTTTCTCTTTTTCCTCCCTGTAACTTTCTCTTTTCTTTTCACCTCTGTAACCCTCCTCTTTTCTCTTACTTTCCTCTCTCTGCAACCCCTGCCTCTTTTCTCTACTTTCCTCCACTGTAACCCCTGCCTCTTTTCTCTTACTTTCACTCTCTGTAACCCCCTCTTTCTCTTACTTTTCCTCTCTATAACCCTCTAGCCTCTTTTCTCTTACTTTCCTCTCCATCGCCCTGCCTCTTTCTCTTACTTTCCTCTCTGTAACCCCTGCCTCTTTTCTTACTTTCACTCTCTATGTAACTCTTTTCTTACCTCTCTCTGTAACCTCCTCTTCTTACTTTTCACTCTCTGTAACCCCCCTTTTCTCTTTTCCTCTCTGTAACTCCTACCTTTTTCTCTGTCTGTAACCCCTGCCTCTTTTCTCTTACTTTCACACTCCGTAACCCTGCCTCTTTTTCTCTTTTACTTTCCTCTCCTGTAAGCCCCCTCTTTTCTCTTACTTTCCTCTCTGTAACCCCTGCCTCTTTTCTCTTACTTTCCTCTCCATATTTAACCCCTGCAACCTCTTTTCTCTTACTTTCTCTCCTCTTTTCTTACTTTCCTGCCTCCCTTTTCTCTTACTTTCCTGTCTGCCAACCTGCCTCTTTTCTCTTTTAACTCTCTGTAAGCCCCCTCTTTTCTCTTACTTTCACTCTCTGTAACCCCCCCTCTTTCTCTTACTTTCACTCTCTGTAACCCCTGCCTCTTTTCTCTTACTTTCACTCTCTGTAACCCCTGCCTCTTTTCTCTTACTTTCACTCTCTGTAACCACTGCCTCTTTTCTCTTACTTTCACTCTCTGTTTCTCTTACCTTCACTCTCTGTAACCCCTGCCTCTTTTCTTACTTTCACTCTCCGTAACCCCTGCCTCTTTTCTCTTACTTTCACTCTCTGTAACCCCTGCCTCTTTTCTCTTACTTTCACTCTGTAACCCCTACCTCTTTTCTCTTGCTTTCCTCTGTAACCCCTGCCTCTTTTCTCTTACTTTCACTCTCCATAACCCCTGCCTCTTTTCTCTTACTTTCCTCTCTGTAACCCTTTCACTCTCTTTTCCCCTCTTACTTTCTTTTCCCTTCTCTAACCCCTGCCTCTTTTCTCTTACTTTCACTCTCTGTAACCCCTGCCTCTTTTCTCTTTCCTCTCTGTAACCCCTCCTCTTTTCTCTTACTTTCACTCTCTTTCTTTTCTCTTACTTTCACTCTCTGTAACCTGCCTCTTTTCTCTTACTTTCACTCTCTGTAAGCCCCACCCCCCCCCTTTTCACCCCTCTCTTACTTTCACTCTCTGTAACCCCTGCCTCTTTTCTCTTACTTTCACTCTCTGTAACCCCTGCCTCTTTTCTCTTACTTTCACTCTCTGTAACCCCTGCCTCTTTTCTCTTACTTTCACTCTCTGTAACCACTGCCTCTTTTCTCTTACTTTCACTCTCTGTAAGCCCCCCCTCTTTTCTCTTACTTTCACCACTCTGTAACCCCCTCTCTTCTTTCCTTACTTTCACTCTGTAACCCCTGCCTCTTTTCTCTTACTTTCACTCTCTGTAACCCCTGCCTCTTTTCTCTTACTTTCACTCTCTGTAACCCTGCCTCTTTTCTCTTACTTTCACTCTCTGTAACCCCCCTTTTTTTCTCTTACTTTCCTCTCCCTCTCAACCCCTGCCTCTTTTCTCTTACTTTCACTCTCTGTAACCCCTGCCTCTTTTCTCTTACTTTCACTCTCTGTAACCCCTGCCTCTTTTCTCTTACTTTCACTCTCTGTAACCCCTGCCTCTTTTCTCTTACTTTCACTCTCTGTAACCCCTGCCTCTTTTCTCTTACTTTCCTCTCCATAACCCCTACCTCTTTTCTCTTTCTTTCCTCTCTGTAACCCCTGCCTCTTTTCTCTTTTTCCTCTCTGTAACCCCTGCCTCTTTTCTCTCTTACTTTCCTCTCCCGTAACCCCTGCCTCTTTTCTCTTACTTTCTCTGTAACCACTGTCTTTTTCTCTTTTCCACTTTCCTCTCTGTAAGCCCTACCTCTTTTCTCTTACTTTCACTCTCTGTAACCCCTGCCTCTTTTCTCTTACTGTCACTCTCTGTAAGCCCCTGCCTCTCTTCTCTTACTTTCACTCTCTGTAAGCCCCCCCTCTTTTCTCTTACTTTCACTCTCTAATTCCTCCTTCTTTAATCTTACTTTCACTATCTGTATCACCTCCCTCTTTTCTCTTCCACTCTCTGTAACTTTTTATTCTTATATTCACTCTCTGTAACCCCTCCCTCTTTTCCCTTATTTCCACTCTCTATAACCACATCCCTCTTTTCTCTTACTTTCACTCTCTGTAATTCCTTCATTTTTTTCTTTTACTTTCACTCTCTCTAACCCTCCCTCTTTTCTCTTACTTTCACTCTCTTTAAACCCATCCCTCTTTCTCTCATATTTTCATTCTCTCTAACCTCTTGTGTGCTAGTGGTACCCACCCACCGCCTTACCTGGAGTGATATGCTTAAAAAAATCAAATATGCAATGCAAGAAAATTATTTTACGAAATTTAAAAAAAGAGACCATAAAGATTGATTACTGCAACATTTAACATATGAAAAGAAATAAGAGAAGACGACGTAGTAGTAGTAGTAGTAGTAGTAGTAAGAAGAAGAAGAAGAAGAAGAAGAAGAAGAAGAAGAAGAAGAAGCAAAACGAAGTGGAAAGCGGATGAGAAGACGGTGTGGAGACATAATGATTATAAGTTCAATCTCTGGTCCAAGCTGTGTGTACTTACCCTCAATTTTAAGTGGTGAGCAGTTACTGAGAAGTACAAAAGAAAATAATGACTAGATGAAATCTCGCGAGATGAGAAGTGGAACGAGAACAGCTTATAAATAAAATAATGGTTCATTTTGAATTGCCTGGAGGTTACCCAGATCAATATACACCTCAGAAAAGCCGGGGTACACAACGCCCGAAACATTGTAATAACAACAATATAGGTGAAGACAGATAGTCAGAATATAAAAGATATGGATTTGTGGAAAGCAATGATAGTCCCCACCCTAAAGATACTCTTTACATAAATGAAGAGATTTTATTTGAACCAGAAAAAAGATCATATATTAAAACAGGTTAATGTTTTTTTTTCATTATCTGTGTATATTTCTGAGATGAGGTATCATGTACATTATTTACATTATTCTGACTATTGACCTCATCTTTGTCGCCATATTTATTACAACGTTTCGGCCTTTCAGTATCTGTCTATATTTCTGAGATGAGGTATCATGTACATTATTTATATTATTCGGACTATTGTCCTCATCTTTGTTGCCATATTTATTACAACGTTTCGGCCGTTGTACGCTCCGGCCTTCTTCAGGTGGCCCTCAAGGACACATGGCACAGTGGATAAAGGCGTTAGTTAGATCCAGTGACAAGACCCAAAGAGTGTGTGTTCAATACCCGGTTAAGGCAGTGGAGAACATTCAGAGGGGAATTAACAGGAGATAACTGATAACTGACATCCATTAAACATGGCACGTGAGAATAGAACAGTCTACCCACGTGAGCGAAATAAAGTGTTCAGTTCGACATTCCAACCACCTGAAGAAGGCCGAAGCGCACAACGGCCGAAACGTTGTAATATATATGGCGACAAAGAATAATGTAAATAATGTTCTTTTTTCATAATAAATATTATGAATTGGACAAAGTCTAACAATTATTTTAAGACATTTTTTTATGTTTATACGTTCTTTTTATGGATAAATATGCTCTGTTTCTAATAAACGGTATTGACGACATTTAGCGGCCTGACTATCCGAGCAATTTTCATAGAAATATCCGTCCTCCGACAGGAATAGAACCTGTAACCTATACAGAACCGTCATATAGCCTGACGTGCTTTACCGATTGAGCCACAAGGGAGCGTTTCCGTTAGCAAGGTTGGTTTTACCGTTTTTATGAAAATTTCTCGGATACTCAGGCCGGTAAATATCGTTAATACTGCTTATCGTAAATAGGGCATTTACTTAAAGATATGTATCTATAAAAAAATCTCTTAAAATAATTGACGGACTTTGTTTATTTCATAATGTGTGACGTCGTTTGTTTACATTTGGATACGCATCGAGCAGATATGAATGTACGAGAGAAAATCATGGAGAATTGTGGTTTAAAAACAGTAAAATCGACCTCGCTAACCTAAACGCTCCTCTGTGGCAAAATCAGTAAAAAGCACGTCAGGCTATATGACGGTTCCGTATAGGATACAGATTCTATTCCTGTCGGAGGACACATATTTTCTATGAAATTTTCTCGGACATTCAGGTCGTTAATACTGTTTATTATAAACAGAGCATTTACTTAAATATTTCTATCTATAAAAAGAACGTATAAACATTAAAAAATTACTTAAAATAATAAATATTGTTTGAAAAACTCCTGATAATTTTCCACCAACACAATACTTAGGGCTACAAATGATAGGGTATGCAGAGAGTAGTAATTTCCACGTCCTGAAAGAGCACGGCACATAAAAGAACAAGACTTAGAGTCTGTTTTTTTATATCTCCATTGATTTGCATGGATATATTAAATGTACATTTTTAAACTATTTCTCTGTATATCCGCATTACTAAAACTACATATTTCTATATTGGACTAAATATTTAGAACAAATCGCTATTGATAATAAAATGCATAAATATTTGTTTGATTATTGTGTACGCCTATTTTCTAACTGACTTTTTACGAATTCATTTATATGTATGGCCGTATATATTGGACACCAGTCAGCAGGTAAGCGAAGAATCAATGAGAAACTGCGTCTGTGTACGCATGCGCCGTACGCCATTTGTTTTCTTTCTTGATAATCCATAAAAGAGAACGTCTTCGTTTTCAACTTTTTTTTTTTCAACTGAGTCTCCGCCATTCTTATCAGCGAGTTGTCTTTGCCAGAAGTTACTGACAGGACTTGTTTCATAAGCCATCACAGTATAAACAGACATATCTCTTTGGGGACGAAAGAGAAATTGCGAGTGGTCGGGGTAAAAACGCATATATGATAGAAAAAAAAAAAAAAAAAAGAAACAGCTAACTCCCACAAAACAAAAAGACTACAAGATATCTCATAATACTTCCAATAAATACAGATCAATATATATATATATATATATATATATATATATACACGTCTGGAAAAACCTTAGGTGATTTGACTTGTAAATGAACAAACCAATACCCAAGGAAAAATAAGGTAAAAAAAAATGAAAGAACTAAGAACATGTAATTGAGGCGAAAATAATAATCCAAAATCCAAGTTCAGAGTCCAAACAAAAAAACCTCCAAAATGAGTAAAGCAAAAGTAACTAAGTGCTAAATACACTAACTAGAGCGAATCTATGAACCTAAAGAGCCAGGAAAAACCTACCTAGGTTTCACCTACGCGGATTGTCAGGGCCAACGTACACTGGCAACCTGTGGTTTATACTGCAACTAGGCTGAACGGATCTTAGTTACAGTATCTGGGAAAGAGCGTGTATTCTAGCGTGATCAACAAATTGAACAAGGCCAGTACGCTCAAGCCATCGGCCACAATGAATTGTGACTCGTGCAAGCACAGCTATCGACGGCCACCAAGGGTTCTGTCTACCCATTCACTTACAAGTAGGGTCATCCCGTGGTGTGGTTTTCAGGCACTTTCCAAAGGCGTCACACGCTGGGATCGACCCCCTCTAAACCGATAACAAAGTCTCCTTCCTGACAAGTCGACCGTGGTGAGATTCGAACCCGGATCTTATGGTCAGAAAGCGAACGTTCTAATATATATATATATATATATATATATATATATATATATATATATATATATATATATATATATATATATATATATATATATATAAAAGAAAACAGACCACTTTAAGGTATCATTATAATAATTTATTTCACCAGAGTCCTTTTAAAGGACGCCGGATCATCAGATAGCACTTCCAAAAATAAAATGAAATGAAAATTGATGGGTAGTGTAAGTTTTTTGTAATTTAACAGAGAGAGTAAAAGGATAGTTAAAGAGACATGGTAGAGTATAGGGAGGGATTAATTTCATATCTCTCTCAAGTATACTTTGTATTAGGGAGGTGTGACCAGACCTTGACTTATTTAGACGGTTTTATATATATATATATATATATATATATATATATATATATATATTATATCTATATTTCTGAGATGAGGTATTATGTACACTATTTACATTATTCGGACCTTTGTCCTCAACTTTATCGCCATATTTATTACAACGTTTCGGCCGTTGTACGCTCCGGCCTTCTTCAGGTGGTTGGAATGTCGAACTGAACCTTTTATCGCTCACAGATACTGAAACGCTGAAACGTTGTAATAAATATGGCAACAAAGATGAGGACAATAGTCCGAATAATGTAAATAGTGAACATAATACCTCATCTCAAAAAATATAGACAGATACTGAAAGGTCGAAACGCTGTAATAAATATGGCGACAAAGATGAGGACAATAGTCCGAATAATAAAATATATATATATATATATATATATATATATATATATATATATATATATATATATATATATTATTTTAAAATATTCTTCCATCGCGACACAGAAATTACTATTTCGAAACCTAACTTAAATCTTAAATTAAAATTAAACTTCAAAAAAAAATTGATATACTTTATTTATAAGCCAAATCGTATTTTATATTTAAGTTGGTAGAGGCAATGAGAATTCAGATTTTTTTTTTTTATTAATGGCGTGTTGGCTTCTTATTTTTTTTTTTTGACGAATGAAAATACACGTATAAATTTGTATGTGGCAAATTGAAAGTCGGTTCAGGTTAGGTGGCGGGGGGGATCAGGATTTCTGTCTGTTGAATATTGACTTCCTCTTATATGTACTTGCCATCCATGTCTCGTTTTTTTTTGTTTTTTTGCTTTTTTGATTTGTCTTATAAATAGTGTTAATCAATTTTTTTCGAGGTTTATATTCAGCATCGCTTGAAAATCGAACGAAACTTCAAATTTTAAGTCTCATTTTAATTTAAAATTTAAGTTTCGTTTCGAAATATAGTAATTTCTCAGTCGCGATGGAAGCATATTTTAAAAAAAGTAATAATATTATGCTCTACTCTTTATACACTACTGT